CGGCGGCCTGTGGGCTGCTGCCGCCGCCCTCGTGGAGCAGCTCGTCGGGCCGGGCACACGCGCGTCTGAACAGCAGAGTGATGTCTGACTTTTTCTTTTCAGAGGAATTGGATACCCCTATAGTTTAGTGTAAGAAATGTAATGCTGGTAGTTAAAAATAATGAATGTAATCTCAAGAATTGAAAGGACGGCCAGGGGCTGTGTGTCTCCTGTGGGACCAAGATGGGCCTAATTAGTGTGTGCTGCCCCTGTGGCAGGGCCCCGGAGTTCCTTTGGGCTGTCTCTTGGTTCATTAGTGACAGATCGGATACCCGAAGAGACCTGGTTTTGCTGACGAATCATTTTCATCGGCAAGCACATGTCCTGATTCTAAAGATAAATTACTCTTTCCTTAGGGGAGTTGGGCAAGTGTTGTATGGTGACCCTGACCGTGCCCTTCTTGGGTTGTAAATACGGATCCAGACTGGTGGGTTCTGTCAGGGACAGGACACCAGGGTCTCCATAGTCCCTAGGGTAATGCTCTCCTGCCAGGACTGGAGCCTGGCTGCTGACCTTAATCCAGCCGAGAGGAAAACGTGCCAACAAGTTCCCCAGAGTGCAGCACAAAGCCAGCAGTGAGGTTGCCCTGTAGGTTGCTCTCTCCTTTCCCCAATGAAGTGTTGATGCTTTCTGCTACAAGCTCAGCAGTGGAGTTCTTGGAATCAAACATATTTTCTTTCTTTTAATTGCTTTAGGCAGCAAGTGAAGCTAGGAGATGAGCTTGTTACTAGCTTTCGGAATCTTTCACATGGACTCTGCCATGCTGTTACCTTGCAAGCAGGAAGATGTCACCTGAATTCCAGAGCTACAGAAGTAATTATTTCTTACTGTTCATAAAAATGTTGAGGAAGGCCTCCTGTAATCTAGATCTGGAGTTCTTAAGCTGTTTTATGGTTTGTAAATTCTCTTACAGAGAGAACAAGGAGCAATATGATTGCCTGTAGGGTGAAGAGGTTGAAATTCTAACAAAACGCATTATGATAGCTATAAAACCTATAAGACTTGCTCCCCAGAACAAAGCAGATGCAATCCAAGAATCCTCAAGGAATTGGAGGGGAGAGGTTTGTAATGGAATCAGAATCTAGTTTTTAACTGGAGAGAGAAAACAAGAGTTCTGCTTCAAAGGGTTAACAGGTGCTAGTTGGAAGTGAGAGACTGAAGTGAAGAATAATGTGTTCAAATTGTCACTGTCAGTCTGTTGGGACAGATTCCAAAGGCAAAGGTGACTGTGGCAGCGAGTGTAGCAGATGGAAAGATATTTGGTACCTGGGGCTTTAATATAACAACGGGGAGGGAACTACATATATGTGCCCCAAGAGAGTTTTTTTTTTTCCCCCTCTTGTTCTGGCTATACCAAATCTCTTCTGTGCTTAAGTGTTAAAAACAAGGTTCTGTGTTGATTTACTGAAGCACATCTCTTGAGAAACCTGACAAATGCCCTTTGTGTTGAATACCTGGAAAAAAATTACAGGTCATGTCACCTGCAGGAAACTGTTTGCTGGCATAATGATGATGACTCTTTGCCGTTTACCCAACTGAATTTTGTGATGAGCAATATTGTATCTGATGTGCCAGCTAATCAGTAGGATTTCCCCAGTTTGATTTGCTGCCATAATTTCTGACTTTGATTTATTCTTTTCAAGGTGCTGTGACATCACATGACCTTCTCCACTGTCTTTGAGCCTTGTGTGTCTGACTTTCATTTATTCTTTTCAAGGTGCTGTGACATCAGATGACCTTCTCCACTGTCTTTGAGCCTTGTGTGTGCACGGACAGTCAACAGTAGGCTCCATCTGTTCAAGAAGGTACTTTTTTGGTGTGATGCTGCTGTAGTACTCGGGCTCCAGTAAGCTGTAGGGCTAGCTAGTCAAGGCCTGTACTGGGCACACTTGCTGCTCTCAGGAGCTGTGCTGGCTTACGTCAGCTTAAGGGGGGTGGCCTGTGAGTCAAGGACACTTTGGGACTACTGACTGGCTTTGTCTTTTACTTGTGGTACTGCTACTACCTACTTATTGCTTAAAACATCATGGGAGAAGCTGAGGAGAGGCAAGTATAAAAAATTGTGCTCTTTTTGCAGTGTTGTTTTCTTCCTAAGGATATATATTCCTTAATATGGCATGTCAAAGACAGTGATTTATAAAGGAATTCTATTTAAGTCTATTATAATTTTGCTGGCATAATGATGAAATCTTTGCCGTTTACCCATCTGACTGGTGTGTGATGTGTATCTTTGAATCTGAAATGCCAGTAAAGTTAAAAACTTTGTATAAGATTAAGCGCACAGAAAACCAACTAACTTTTTTTGTTGTTAGCTTGAAAACAGCAGCCTGAAATGTGGAGTTCTAGCGCACTTGGAAATACTCTCATGGCCTGTCCTGCTCCTCGAAAATACTGCTTGATTCAATAGTAAGGCAGAGGAGTGGCTGTTCAGTGAAGATCTGTGAATAACTGTCACATAAAGTTCAAGTGAGTGTCACTCTCACCCGAAGTGGCCTTGTGGACATTTTTTTAGAACTGAGTATGAATATTTAAGTGTACCAAATTGATCAAAATTGAATAAATCAAGGGTTAAAAAATGTAAGAGAACTTGTGTTTTTGTGTCTAAATGAGACTATTAACAATGTTGGTGGCAGGAGCTTTTCTGCTTATCTTCAAGGCAATGTGTGTATGAAAAAAATCTTGGAAATTTTGTTTTCAGTGACTAGGGTTTTTTTTGAGGTTATGTGAGCAGTAGCAGCATGAATCTGTTGGACGACAACCTGGATAGGAGGCACACCAAGCCTTCAGTATTCAGATTGCCCAGAATTGAAAGGAACTCTGTATGAATTCTCTGTGCTTTTTTTGGGGGGGTGGGGCAGGGAGGGGTTGTGTGGTTGATTGGTTTTGGGTTTTTTTTGACATGGATTTCCTGGATGTGAAACTTGCTCAGTTATGTCTACTGGTGTGTCTGTACTAGAAAGATAAACTACAGGAAAGCCTGCAGCTGGAAAAGCATACCACTTCTTAGACACCTCATCATCTGCCACGCTGTTCTGTATACTTGTTTTTGCAGTAAGGTAGCGTTGAACTCTTTAATCTGCCTGTCTACCAGGTTGTCTAATTGATTTAATGTTTTTATCACTTTCTGTAGTGTTTTTCCTGGTTTGAGCTAAACAGAACCAATTCTGTTCAGTGATTTTACTTTCCAGCTCAGTCTTTTCTAAGAGGCTGCACTTCATGAAGCTGGCAGCATGTTTTTGCAGACAGTGTCTGCTACTAGAAGTGATAAAGCCTCATGTTTATAGCTGCTATGGGGGATTGGTATGCAGAACGGCTCTTGCTTATCCTTGCTCCTGTAGTGACCAAGGTCACTGATAAATCATGTGTGCCATGTTGGAGGTGCTGGGAAGTTAAGAGAGGTCACAAGGAAGTAAAAGGTTGCACCTCTGGGGAGGAATAGACAGGACAGGTGACCAACAAGAGTATTCCATTCCAGACATGTCATATTCAGTATAAAACTGAGGAATCACAGAGGTTAAGCCCTCTTGCTTCAATGGCCAGTGTCCAAGCAGGACTCCGTCTGATCTTCTGCCTTTGATCCTTATCCCAAGTTCCCAAATCCAGGTCCCTTTATCCAGCTCTGCGCTGCTGCTGAGCCTGGGACTTCCCCAGGGCTGCCTGCTCAGCAGTATCAGTGATGATGGCTATGGGGATGGAGGGACAGTTGGGTTCGATACCTGTTTTGTATCTATTCAGATATATTTCATAATTTTCAATATTTCCTTACTAGTACTATTATTTATTATTGTTTATTAAAGCTATTTTAGTTTTCCAGTCTGTAAGTCACTCTGCCTTACTCCCTTTGCCTTCCCATTTGGGGAGTGAGAAGAGTTAGAGAGCAGCTGCCAGCATTTCGTGGCCAGCCCAGCCCTTAACCCTTGACAGGTTCTACTGTACCCTGCAGTCTATATAAAGTAATGTGGAAATAAGTTTGTGGGATTTTTTTTTTTTTATATATATTGCAGGAGCACACTGACATTCTATGATACTATGTTTCTGTAATGTGAAGCGAAGATATAAAACATGAAGCAGTGTGGTGATATTTTTATACATGTTAAAATCTATAAAACATTAATAATTTAAGAAAGTTGGATTGTAATAGGAAAATAGTTTTAATACACTTAAAACTACTTACCCCTCATTAGGTGATACATTTAAAAAGAAGGAACAAGAAAAATTGGAGAGTTCATGTAGTTAAACTGAAACAGATTCTAAACTTCTGGTTTAATTGCAGTCTTATTAAAAGCCCTGCTTTAACTGGATGAACAGGGGTAGCCAGGAAGAGAAGCTCAGGTTCTGGCTTTATTCTGAAGCTGTGACATCCCAGGATGAAGATAACACTCCTTGTTATCTTGCCAGCTGTGCCTTATTCCAGAATAACACTGAACAGTCTTAGAAAAATGTTAAAAACTTCAGTTCTCTGTTTCTAACTGCAGTCTCTCAAAAAGCTAAAGCTTCAGGCTTTACTTAAAGCAGAGTTTTCACTCTTCGCTAGTGTTAACATGAATTCCTGGGCCATAGGCACCAATAAACTTCAGCACCTGATGGTGACACTGCATGAGGTAAAAATCTCTCTGTTGCAAGGAGTTTTCATCACTGAGGTCAAATGGAAATACAGGATTTGGTGCTATGCATAATGCAGACTTGCCTAAGAAAAGAAGAAATCAAGACTTTAGCTGAAATACTTGATAAACTCCTGACTTTGAAGGCAAAAACGCTGTGACACAGATTACTTAGTAATGCAGTCTTGTATGTTACCATTTTTAAGTGTTACATTGCAATTTAGTCGTTGCCAAATTTGTGCATGACCAAATATGATACTGATGCTAGATTAAAAAACAAACAAACCCCAAGCCTCATCTTCTGTTTCCCCAGGGAGGAAGATCTGTCTTTAGTTTCCCCTGGGTCAATGTTAGAGGAGCGATGCCTCAAATAAGGCAGCATAAAGGATGGAGGCTTCATGCTGGCCTGAAGGCCTAATGGCGTGCGGTACTGAGGCTCTGTGGGAGTCAGCTGGAAGACTTAGAATCATAGAATCATAGAACAGGTTGGAAAAGACCCTTGGGATCATCGAGTCCAACCATTGACCCTACACTACAAGTTCACCCCTAAACCATATCACCCAACACCCCATCTAAACGACACTTGAACACATCCAGGGATGGC